TCCGAGTTATTAGACACGGTCCTCGAGGGTCCAGACCAACTGGATCAGGTTCTATCTGCACACTTGGCCCAAGTCGATCGTGCTTCCCTGCTGTACGAGCCTGAATAATTACGTCTTACCCTATTTTTTTTTCTGCGCGGCTAAAAGTCTACTCAGACACTAGAAGTTTATTCCTGTTTTTCTGTTTTCAAGCAGTACTAACCGAGTCACGAAAAGTTCTGCCGATATTCTTCCAAAGAACCCCGAGGACAAAAAGGAAAAGGCCATGGCTATTTGCAGTTCCCTAAATGGTTCAGCGTGTGACCATCCATACTTCGCATGGGGAAAGAGCAAATGACGTTCCCTATGGGATCGGCGGCCCGATGATGTCGTCCTGTGGCCACTGCTGCCAGATATATAGGAGCTGTCTTTTGCGGTCAGAAAACGTGTCGTGTTTTTGGTGTGTTTTTTTACCCTATCAGTCTCCACTAAACCTACTTCCAGCAGGTCATCGAGGGGCTGTCCCGTTCATTCCGAGCATTTTCTTTCTACTCCGTAGTGGACCCATCAATTCAAGAGCTGATGCCACGGTTGTACTCCACTGGGCTCACGAACCAAGCTCGGAGAAATTTGATCCAGAGATAACAGTTCCTTGAGAGATCGTGGCTGAAAATATAAGATGATAATGTGCTGTCTAACCGCAAGAAGCAATTAAGTCTGCTCCATACGAAGTAGAAGATTGTACTAGTCATGTCCGTCTAGAATTGCTTTTTTTTTTTGGAGACTTCGGCCACAGCTACGGAAGAAGAATAAAATCGCATTTATAGAAGCTATTGTATAGCTAGCACCCCGTAGCTAATAATACAACATACTAGTTCTAGTGCAATCGTGGGTTTGGAGTTGTTTCACGCCAAGACGATGCGAGGAATGTAAAATAATACCAATATTACTTATACATATATTCGCGATACAATATTCTAGTGAATTTGAAATGAGTAGCTGACAATTTATTTATTTTTGAGTAATTTTTGTCGATTTTCTCTGATATATTTCCCCTCTCTAAATCACTAAATTCCCAATATCCTTGAGTTGGGCCCTTCGGATTGGAGTTGACCTACCCACCCACCTCCTTCCTCTCCCACCTTCTCTCTCTCCGCCCCTCCGATTTCCTCTCTTCCCCCCCCTCGCCTGCTTCAACATCCTCCTTTCTGTTTCTCCGCATCTTTAATTTCTTTTCGACCTTTTTCCTTTTCTCTTTGCAGTTTATTGTGTCCCATTGTCGCACTTTCGGCACTTGGTCATCTCCAGAATCGAGAAAAAAATATCATAGGTAGGATGCACTTTCCTATTTGCCCCTCTCTCTTTGAATATCTTCTTTTTTCCCTGTCAATTTCCTAGTGGAGACACTGGCTTTGGGGCTGCAGCACTTGCGATGCGCTAGTGCTGGCTTACAAGGCTGTGACTGGACCACCGTTCGAGTATATGCGCTGAATGGCCCTGGTTATTCCCTCTACCAATATACCACATCCACACCTGGTTCTTTTAATTCTTTCCCCCCTCCAGCCCCTGCTTGTTGTGGTATCGCATTACCCCTCTATTCCCTCAACTCCCGTTGTCTTGGTTTTCCCACCTCTCACTACCCACTCAATCTGGTGGCTGTATTTCGCTTCGGTTCCAGCCTCTTCTCTTTGGCCATAGACCCCGGAGCCGCTCACCATTGTCCCCATTAACAGCTCCCTTACCACATTGGTTCCTGAATCCGTAACATCTACTGGCTTTGTAAGACGACATATGCGTTGTGCGCAGATCTTACGGTTCTGACGTCCTTGTTGTATCATCATTGATCTTCACATTCGAGACCTCACGTTCATTGATTTGCCACATCGTTCTATCCATCCAAGACCTGGATCACTTGGAACCTGAGCTGACTGGGATTTGCAAGCAGAGCCCCTAGTATTCCATCTGGATTGGCTGGGCATCAGACCGGATAAATCAACTTCATTACTATCCACCGTGACCACCGCATTACACGAGGTTGCTCTCACCTACTCCTTAAAGCATCCCCTCCACATACACATACACAACCATGGCACCAGCCGATACCAAAAAGGCCGAGCAGGTAAGTACTTCTTACCCCGTGGTCAAAGGTTCCTCGGCCTGATATCCGAGTCTAGGCCAAGCAGGGCCCTCCCAAGCTCTCCGATTACAAGGAGATCCTCGACGAGAGCACATTCGAACAGATCCTTGAGATGGACGATGACGAGGAGGATCGCGACTTCAGCAAGAGCATTGTGTACGGTTTCTTTGACCAGGCTGAGAACACCTACAAGAAAATTCAGAAGGAAATGTGAGTGATGTCCTAGCTAGTGAAATTTTGGAGATAGTCCTTTTACTAATCATCCAGCAACAGAGATGACAAGAACCTCGATGAACTCTCTGCCCTTGGGCACTTCCTTAAGGGCTCATCCGCCACACTGGGCCTTGTCAAGGTGAAGGACGGCTGCGAGAAGATCCAAAACTTCGGCGCCCACAAGGACGAGACAGGTCTCATTGACGAACCGGACACGGAGGTTTGCCTCAAGGCCATCAAAAATACCCTGGATGAAGTCAAGGTCGAATATCGAAAGGTCGAGAAACTCCTCCGCCGATACTACGGCGAGGAGGTAAAGGACGAAGAAGAGAAGCCGGAAGAGGAGGAGGTCAAGGAGGAGAAGAAGAAGGTGGCAGAAGAGCCCGAGGAAGAGCCTAAGGAGGAGGCCAAAGCCACCGAGACCAAGAAGACTGAGGAGCTCACCAAGGAAGCCTCTTCTTAAATAAGCTGTCATGCGGACTGGTTGATATCCCTCCCTTCCCTTTTTCTTTTTAGCGACGGATGGAGCATGGCAACTGGCTTTTTCATTTTCTTTTCCCCCTTTGCCCTTTTTCACTCCCTTTCTCTTCTCTCCCATCCTGGCTTCTCTGGCTTTCTTGACACGTACATAACAATCTCCCCCACCATATCTCCCTTTCCCGTCCGGACGCTGGTGTGCAAACGGATATTCCTGATCTGTCACGTAGGTGCAGGCGCGAGAATCGTGACGATTCCGAGGGGTCTTGAACAATAGCGACATACGGAAACCCGAGTGCCTCTATCAGGCCCTATTTTCTTGCCTTTAACCTGCGCTTTCTGTTTCGTGGGTCATCGTATAGTAGGCATTAGGTACGTGTAACCCAAGAAGTAGCCTGTAACATGCCTAGACATTAAAAGTGTAGCTAAAGTAATCAACAAAAGTACCTAAATATTGGATTTGAGTAAGCTTAAGTATTGCCCGACACTTGCCCTGATGATCATATAACTTTCAAGCATCCGAGCCGAGAAGTGGCGCCCTGAAAAGCTTTTTGACCGTCAGCCACTTCCAAGAATGCTCTAGGGAACCTCGGAAGCTTGACTCAACCTTGGAACTTTATACTATGCGGATGCGGGACGGTCAAACTAACCTTAGATATATAGTTATTTGATCGCCGCTTGATTGGTCGGTTGTGTTGATCAGCTAGATCTGTCATTGCATTCAACGGAGGGTACGTCTAGATCTCTGTGTGTGCGTGCTTCACAAGCCCTGATTCCTGAATGCTGCACTTCACGAGTTTAGTGCGCTCAAAACAACATATTCCTCCACTGTCTACTCTAACTGACAACAAGTCCTGCAAGATTTGCGCTTGCATCCGGCCTTGTGTGCCCAATAGCGAATGATGAACGAGTACCGGGAACCTGCAGTATGGAGATGGTGCGACGCCAGCGACAATGACACGCTCACATATTGCCTAAGCTGAGATCTAGCCTGTTTGGTTAGCTATAGTTTTGTTAACCATTGAGTCCTATGAAGTGCCCCTAGAGAACCCTCTTCCTATCTTGAGTTACGATTCAGTGCGTCAGACATATACTTCTCATATCTCCATGGCCTTGCCGTCTCAACCATGGCTCCATCTCTCAACAGTCCGTTCTAGTATGAAATGCAGCAGCGGGATTATGCAGTGTCATTCAAATCGTGGTGCGCAGATGATCCGCCTTGGCTGGTCCTTGTCTTGTCCACAATGTGACATCCGTTCTTTAATCGCGGCGCCAACGGGGACAAGCTCAATCGACCCGGAGATAGGATGGTAGGACCTCCTGTCAAGAATTACGTGTCGTTTTCCTTTTTATGATACATCTATTTGCACAAACCATTTGGTAGTTACTAAACCAACCTTTGGCACGTATAGCAGCCGTTATTTTCAACCCTATTGTGTTTTAAGGGCACACGATAGGTCTAAATCTAAACATCAATTGGCCATACCTGCTGCCACGTTGCTCGTCCCATTCAACTGACTATCCTTCATTGCATATGCACCCATCACAAACGAGAAAATTGAAATCGAGTCAAGCTCTTCCACCCGGATCCCCCTTCCCGCAATGGGAAGCAAATACGCGCTTACCATTAAAATCCAAAAACTGACAGATGCAAGCAACGGCACCGATTTGGGTTCCGGTCGGTCAAATCTCAGCTCAATTGCATCCTGGCCTGGCGTCCGGCCTGGAAGGTTACACGACATAGCCAACGAGTTTCTTTTCTGCAGCATGCCTGCAAGCCGTCGGGTAGGCACAGGTGCCTTATTTGGCTCTATTCCCCGCTAGCAAGGGTGACTGAATGTTTCGCTTGCTGCTGGGTTGGGTCTCAGTGGACCTCGATGCCGAGCTTGGGATGCACGGTCTGATTCTCTTAGCTCTCCCCACACCTCAGTTGGGGATGTGGCTTTCCAGACTTGGTTCCGTTAGGCTAGAGCTGTGTCGATTTTCTTCATGGCGGATGCGTACAGGTTCGTGGCAAAGATATTAGAATACAGGGATACTAGCTTTCTTTCCCTACCGAATACTTATGTTGTACATCTTGTCGGATGGAGATCTCGACCTAGATCCGGTAGTGTGTACTCCGGCCAATATACAATGCAAAAATTGACCTCGAAAGCACACCCCTTTCTCATGCACGCAAGCATAAATATATATTCTACCCGTCTGTCTCGGATAGCAGACTTGAGCTCAGCAAGTCGCCCTCGATATACCAGAACGCACTTAGCCTGCTATCTTCGCGCTCAGTCCTCGACCCCAAGTTCTGGGTCCACGATGACTCTGTTTGCGATTGTCTCGCTTTATTCGACTCGTCACCCTGGCCTGAGATGAGTCCTTTTCGAGGGGGCGAGCGAGAGATAGAGAACAGGAATAGGAGGATTTGTACTACCTCCTTTTTCTCTTCTGCTTTCCTCTTTTTCGCGCTTTGTAAAATACGCACGCTCTCGTTTGCCATATCGGAACTTCATGCCCCCAGCCTACTTCCCCCGGAGAAAGACTGTATCACAGCGCCGTACCATATCTTCTAGATTCCACCAGCCCCCAACGGTTTACTTACCCTGCACACGCTAAACCACTAAAAGCGAACACTGCAGCCCGGATCACAGTTTGATGTAGCCCGGGGTTGTATATCAACGGGTGTGCAGTGATCATCTACACGTACATTGTACATGTACCACCCGACTCCACGAATCCTGCAAGAAGTACAGTAGCGTCTAATCCCGGAGAGAGAATCGTAAGCGCTGAGACAGACCAGAAAGCCCCAAAATAGCTAAATGAAAATACCCCAACTGCAACACTCGACTCGTACCCTCCATATTTACGCTTCCCTTTGTCGGTCATGCATGCACGCCAAGAGAAACAATAATAATCTTTATTTGTTGCGAGGTAAGAGGTGTCTTAGCCTCGAAGCATATCCCTTAGATCCCTGTCCTCTGCCCCGGATCCTTGTGCTTGTGTTATATCGATCTGATTGTGGGTTTGCCCTTTGCCCCATTTCCCCGCTTGGTCTGATTGCGTCTGTTTCTGTTTCTTGTCTCGTGCTGTCCGTTCGCTCTGCTTCATTCCGGCATAGGCGTCTCTGATTGTATCGGCACGGCGGCCTCGGCGCCGTGCAATTTGCAGCCAACGGCCGTTAGATGGGTTTCCGCGCCGTTGAGATCTGTTTGAATCGGGAGCGGAGAGAGATATAAAGTCTGGCTTTGGCGCGGGCTGTGAGTTGGCTTCTTCAGTTCTGAATACACATTCATATTCACATTGATCTTTGATTTCTTTCTTGGATCTCGATCAAGCTCGGCTCTACTCTTCCATCAACCACGGCAAATACAGCACACTATATAACAACACCCCATTCAACACCCAATTGAGGAATCCAACCACGATGCCCGTCGGACCTCGAGTATCGAAAGAAGAATTCATGCTCGCATTGGGTCTAAACCCACAAGATCCGCACCATGAGCAATACTACCGTGCCATGCGAGTAAGTATACCAACCGGGCCTTCAGCACTTACCTTCCCTCCTTCTCCTTCTCCAATCTTCATATACCACCCACACACACGATACATTCCAAGTACCGCCTAACAGACATTATCTAGGACGAAGCAATCATTGTCTACAACCGCATGAACCTCGACACCTCCAACCTCCTCGACAACGTGCGCGCCGACCCAGAAACCCGCCCCCCTTTTTCTGGCATCACATCCGCCCGGACTGCCAGCGCTGGGCGATCCTCGAGATCTGTCACAATGCGCCGCCGCTCGTGCGCGGCCTGTTCGAGCGTGGGGCGACGACTGGCGAGTACGGCCCGAATTGGGTTGCTGGTTGGTTGTTGTATAGTGTTTTTCGGTCGCGCGATGTGAGGAATAATCGGAATAGGAGGAAGGGGGAGGTTGGGGGATCTGCGGGTTTGGAATCTGGTATGTATTGTGCATCTTTCTTTTCCTTTTTGGATGACTGATTGGTGAAGGTGATATTGATGAATGTTTATACATAGACAAACGTACGAGGCAGGAAGAGCCGAAGAAGTACTACGATCCTGTGCGGAATGGAACGCTGTGATATTTGGGATTGAGTGTTTCTGGAAGAATTTTGTTTTCTCTTTCGCTTCATATGCATGCTGTTTAATGTCTATTCTGTATAATTGAAGTATGAAACTTGGAGACCATCGCATGACCAGAAATGGAATGGAATGCAATACATACACTTAGGGAGAATGGACAGATCAAAATAATCAATCGTCGTCCTCACTCTTCTTATCGTCCTCGCTTTTCTTCTTCTCATTTTTCTGCCGACGGTCTGACTTCAAGACTTCCGTTACACGTTGATCATGCTCATCAGCCCGCTCATCCCACTCAGCATCATACTCAGCCGCGATATTCTTAATCTCCCCGCGGAGCGAGTTCCCCTCATCAACCAAGGACTCCCAAAGCTGCAAATCAACATGATGCAACAGATAAAGCTTCTTTTGCCTCGCACTGATGGTAAATTCCAGCGCAGACTTGTAAGAAATCTCCCGATTGTGATACAAAAACCACAAATAACCCCCCATCAACGTCGACAAACTGACCAAGTAAGTCACAGGCTCCATGGTATCCCACCCAAGGTCAGTCTCGAATGTTAATCTGTAGACCGTAAACCACCAAACGGCAAGAATTCCAAATCCGCTCATCGCAACCCGCTGCGCACCCCGATGCGCCAGCGCATCACACTTCTCTTTCACATCCGCCATGGTTTGAATGCGCCGTGAGAGCTTGCGCAGCCGCATGCGCAGATAATATGTGCGCTCGTTGAACGACGGCACCGTGACGCGAATCTGACTTAGGCCGGACGGTGCGCCTTCGATCGTCACTATGAACTCGCCCGCGTGCGCAGCGTCCCGGATAAAGTCGCCAATCTCCGTGGCCTGTGACCAGCGCACGAAGTGCTCGGGTTTACCGTTCGTTCTGCGTGGATAGCTGTAGGTCTCGACGTCTTCTTCCCGGGACCGGCCGTTCAGGGGTTTGCTACCGCCAAGGCCATCGTTGCCGGGGATGAAGCCTATTTCTTTTTTTTGGTTTGCGTCTAGGTCGATCTCGTTCTCGATCCGCTTTTTGGGCTTGATAGCGTTGTCGTCATGCTGGATTGCGATGAAGGATACGGCTGGTGGGCGGAGCTTGTCGGTGTTGCCTTTGATTGGGGGTAGCTCTGACTGGATCAAGCTTTCTAGGTATGATAGTGGTTGTTGAGGGTGGATTAGGATAGCTATGGGCTCGACTTCTGATTGTGCTGTTAGCATGATGGCCAAGTGACGGGAGAATGTTTAACACCGGCATACCTTTATCATGGCCGTCATTACCGACGGTTGTTAAAGGAATGATCAATTTGAAAAGCCGCGAAGGGGTCGTCAATATTTTGCCTATCTCCAAAAGTCAGCATTGATACTCGAATCAATCATAGCACCACCTTCTTACCTTTGGTCAACCTTTCAGGCCACGTTTCTCCTTCCATCGGTGACTTTCCCTTTCCGCCATCCTCCCTAAGAACTGTCCGCTGAGGCCGAGCTTGTTGATTGCCCTCCTTAACTTGGAATTTCTCCCAAAGCTCTTCAGTCGTCTGCTTATCGCCTGAGGCTTGTCTATGAGTTTCAGTGCGGAATTTCCTGATCTGAATCCAGGCAAGATAATCTCCTGGAACTGCAGCCGGCCCAGCACATCTCAGCTTCGTTACCGGTGATGCACCAGAAGCTCTGAGACCAATATCCCTGGTGAGACAACTCCCTAAGAATGAACGGATATGTCTAGAGAAAACGGAAGAGCCGTTACCAACCCATCCATTCATCCCAGCCGAGCCAATCTTCCCTAACGAGGCGTACGGAGCACCACGTTGTGATATCCTCCCCGTCGCCGCCGACAGGATAGGGGCACAACTCCGTGCCGGAAAATGCATATTGAAAACAAGTGATCGGTTTGTCCGTCCAATCGTTTATTGTGTATGTTCAGGTCGCATGAAAATGAGAGAGAATATGTCGTAGACTAGGAATTGAATAAGGGGTGTGTCGTGTAGGAGACTCAAGACATGACGACGCGGCGCTTTCGAGTACCCAACATGTGGGGAATGGGGAAGATCATGTAGTGAGGCCAAGATTTATTCAAGCAATAAGCTAACCAGGGTGATCCATGCACGGTACATAGCTCGTTGTCAAGTTGGCTTCGTGCCTTGGAATATTCTGACGTCACAAAAGTGCATAGAGGTCTCCACATTTGGGGCGGTGTGGCTCAGTTTGTGGCAGTGCGGGATCTGTATCCATCGTCATGATTTTTCTTTTGGTAGTTTTGAAAGTCATTTAGACCCCCGTTATTGTTGTTGTAGCTAGTATGGTAAGAAGAATTAGCTACAAAACAGAATGTAGGCCGTGGGAAAGGTGGAAAATGTGAATGGTCTACATAACATGCTAAAATAAAATATGATTATTCAATATTCAGAATCTATATAGAATAACCAGTAATCTCAGAGCTCGCGCATAATATCTTGCACGGCCTTCGCAGCGAATCGTTTCCGTTCACCCTCCGGCAGCTCGGAGGTCATATCTAAGCCAAGTCAGTACACCGCAACGTCAACTATAGCGAGCCTGAGAGATCAACATAGAATCATACCCTTGATTGCCTGCATGCGCATCATCAATGCCTCCATGCTCTCAACATCAAACTCATCTTCGCCATCATTATCAGAATCATCTCTCTCATCACCATCACCACCCCCACGCTCGATTGCCATACGTAAACCGAACATTTCGCGCTCTAATTCATGAACCTCATCACCGAACCCACGAGAGCTACCCAGACCTAATAGTTGGTCTTGAAGATCATCATCGGAATCCATGGCAGGGTCATTATCTTCATCAAAGCCATCGTCACCCCCAACCATAGACCAGTCATGAGTCTCAAGGACCTCTTTGATACGATGCATACCCTCTCGTTCTAGTAATAGCATAAAGTCAGCTAAAATCCAAAATCTTGCCACACAGCCCATTCGCGGGTGAGGCATATCATTCCTGCTCCGATATTCCAGGTGCGCAAAGTTTTCCTCCAATACTACTGCTCAACCGCGAATGGGTTGCTTCAGTAAACTCACCTCCATATTGATTCCTCGTCTCAACATCCAAACTCTCCTTAGGATCCCACTCAACAACCTCCCACCCCACCAACCCCATATCAAAAAGCTGATCCTCCCACCACCCAACCGAAAATGGCACCGCCTCTCCACCACCTAAATCCCCATCATCAACGCCAAGCCCCAGCTCCACATCGGGACCCTTGGATCCCTGCTGACCCACACCCACACCCGCAGCACCCTTCCTCCCCCCAATCAACACAAACACACCAGTCACATCACCGAGCCCGCCACGCTCCTCATCAATGCGCTCCTTGACAGCGCCAACACCACGCATCAGATCACGCAGTGCGCGCACGTCGGACCGCTCGGCGGGGTCTGCGTTTGCATTGGAGCTTGGTAAAGGTGTCACATCGCTAGGAGTATGCGCGCACACAACCAGAGCCCCGACAGCTTCGCGCACAATCTCAGCTTCTGTGCTTAAGAAGTCGGTTTTCCATTGCTCGGCTGTGGGTGTTGGTGTGGGAGTAGTTTGTGCATCTGTGTCGTGGATCGCGAGTGGGATCTCGTCGACCCATACGGGGACTTCTGTTTTGTAGTATTTTGTTTCGAGGCGTAGAGGGCTGTGGGTTGTGTATCCGGCGAAAGTGCTCGTTGGTGGTGAGGGTGTTGAATTTGAGGTTGGCTGTGGTGGGGTTGGGGTCAGGGTTGGCGAAGGGGCTGGCTGTTGTGGCGGGTCGAGGACGGGCACACCGGTTAGGGAGTGTAGGAGTGGTGGGATTATTGTGGGGGATTGGGTTGTTGGTGTGAGGATTAGGAGGCGGCGCGGGTTGGAGATATTCTTCACATTGGATTTCGCGGAGCTTGCGGGGTTGGATGGGGGCGCTGAATAGGTCATGATGGCGGTTTGTCTTGGGTGCGATTGGGTTTGAGATGTCTCTTAGCAACCTTGAGTGAGGTAGTGCCTAGTTCAGTCCATTGATAGTTTCCAGCGGGAAAATGTGGTGTTGTTGATAGCTGTCCCCCGCATCGTAAAAATAACGGGGTGGATAGGTCTGCCTTCCCCTTTCCATTTTAGTACTCACCACTTGCCGCTTTTGAGCTTGACTTGATCACGGGAGACTACATAATCAACACGCTTTCGAGGTCAACATCCATCTGAAGACGACTTCCAAGTCCTCACTTTTGGTCGGCGGATATATTTTCTCGAGAATTCCTCTTTTATCATCTCTTTTTATTGCCTCTTTTTGTTGAAGTTGTACACACCCACTTCATGCAGACTTATCCCGTGCTGCTCGCATATGTACCCTTCCGGTACACGAGATAGTATTGCCCTGATTTATCCATGTAGCTTACTTGCATTATCTAGACCGCTGTTTCCAGGCCATTCACGCTGCCTTCAGTACTCTATTCTGGAAGGGTAATAAGAGAAGTTTGTTGTAAGGTGACCAGTAGGTCCGTCGGATCTAACTAGTTATAAAAAGGTCTACATAAGATTAGTCATCGTTTTGTTTGTATAAAGTGTCTATTATTCTATTAGGAGCTCTAAATTCTAATTCAGTATCTAATTAACAGTCTTTTGCCGAACGCATAAAGTTATGCAGCAAAGCTCTTCGCATGAGATTTGCCGAGTTTCAAGCATCATTCCGCACCAGTGTTGACAGCAAATTTGCTGTACTTGCGAATTCTTGGTCCGTATACATAAAGCAAGTACGGAATTGTGGCCATGGCTGTACTGATGGCCCCCAAAATGGTCAGTGTGTAATGCGCACCGATAGAACGGTAAATAGGCCCACCAGCAACCGTCATACCGCCTGCGACCACATATCTAGTAAAAACAAGGAACCCCAATGCAGATGCTGAGTATACACCATAGGAATCTATGATATACATGTATGTGGAAAGGAAAATAGTCGTGATTCCGTACCCGAATAAGACCGAGGAAATGAGAGGAGACCAAATCGATATGGACGGCTGAACATAGAGAGAGCGCAAAAGTCAGTGACTGAGACAACGATGAGCAAATCAAGGGCACTTACATAGCAGGTCCAACCCATCCAGAACAAACTTATCGGCACCGCTGGAGCACCACCCAGCATCGCATACCACAATCGCTCTTCAGGGGCAATAGTAGAAGTTCTCTTGTACTCTTTGGCAGTCCAGGAGTAAACTACCGGAACTAGGAAGCTAGTGAGAAGAATACCACATAGCATCCCCACCCAGAGTATACTAGTCATCTGCTGTGAAAGCCCATACGGATGACTAAAAACGTATGTATATCCCTCCAAAAAGGTGAAGAGGACAATATAGACAACGGTAAGGTACAGCGACATCAAGATGATAATCAACTCAGAGTAAACCAGCGCAAATGGCCGGTATACCGAGGCCAACAGTCGCGGGCCCAAAGCCTGGTTTTTCATCTCCATCGGAGCTTTGTATCTCTCGTCCCCAGTTTCTTCGCGGAGAATCTTTGCTTTCCAATACAGAAGAAGAGGCCCGTATGTTTCTGGCTGGAACACAAGAACAATAAGAAGAATCGCACCTCCCATGATAAGCATAATCCACTCAAGCCAACGCCATCCCAAAGTAGTAGGAATATAGCTGCCTATTATCTGACCAGCCATAGGTCCCACAAATGATGGAATAGCATAGGCTGGAAAAGCGTACGTCTTTTGTACTGGATTCCACAAATCCGCCACCGTGCCACCAGCACAGCTGAGTGGAGTAGAGCCAAATAAACCGGCAAGAAAACGAAAGATTAGGTGAGCCTGGAGGTTTGGAGCGAGTGCCGCAGCCATGATAAAAATCAGAAAAAGGAGCATAGTTATCAGGTAGACAGAATTCCGGCCAAACGTCTCAGAGAATGGGCCTGACAGGAGAGAGCCGGCCCCGAAACCGACCAGAAATAAGGCTGTTGGAACGGTCAACTTGTGCAAAAGGGATAATCATTTCAAAGGTCTTTACTTACCTGTTGCAAGAGACCCGACTACTTCGGATACGTTGAAGTATTCACTGTATTGTGGGACGCCGGAAGCATCAATCGCAGATGTGGCAGTTACAGAAAAAGCAAGTAAAGAGACCAGAAGGGTCATAACCAGCTTCTGCGACACGCTCTGGCTTGCAGGGTTCAAAGGATCATCGTGACTATCCCAGTCCACAATGATGATGGAATCGGTGGAAGGCTTTGCTTGAAGTGAGGATTGGTTCGGCGGAAAAGAAAACCCAACATTGCATGACTGACAGCTGGATAATGGAGTATGAGCATGGGTTGAAAGATAGATTTGCAAAGCTTCGCCGAGCTATCACTTACCTCGAGCTGTGTGGTGACCCGGGTGTATAGTTCTCGCAGGTGCACTTTTCTTTGATTTCTGCTAGTTGGTCGCGAACAGATTGTCTGATACGTCGATATTGAAAGAGTGATTCCATTGTAGGAAAACAGCTGAAGACCGGCAGTGAATATGAAAAAGGAAGTGGGTTGCGAAGAAAAAGCCACTGAAATTTTAACTATCATTGAGCCCCATAGAGTAAAGCTACCGGATTTAAGTGAAGGCAGTCGTTAGGCCGTGAATCATAGCCCAGCTCTGTTGATGAATTCATTTTATCTGGCCCCTAGTATTTATCAGCCAAATCCGGATTTGATCGTCGGCGCATCGGACATAGGTAGGAACCATTGCCACATTTTTCTCCGATGCACTTGAACTCCGGTCAGTCCTAGTTAGTTTTCGGCCGAATAGTATCGGACTTCCATTTTGTAAGCCAGGGGGATTTCTGCGATCGAAAGAATGACCCACAGCTTCTGGATCAGTCTGATCAAGCTTTTGGTCGTTTTATACGGCTGGTACTTGCTCCCTCGCCCGAATCTCAATATATGGTCTTCGATTTTTGAGTCTGATATATTGATTTAGCTCTTCAAGGAGTTCCCGCTCGTATTTGCCTAGCAGTACAACATTTAGACAATTGAATATGATATCCGAGAAAAACGAGTAATTTGAAGTGAAGACCGATACGTCATATCTGATATCTTGAGGTCAATCAAACATCAATATCATCGTCCCATCACCGGTCGGTGGTATGCAGCAAACGAATGTCAAGAAACGCTTATTCATGTACTTCGTACTTTGCGATCAGTTGCATATTACTATTTAATGGCGTTTCTGCCTATTGAAGAGTATTCGAACTTGAATAGAATTTCCCTTTTTAACAACTAGTCAGCGTGGCGTAACAAATTTGATATACATTGAAATCACCAGAGATGCCATCTAATGTAAAGGAGAAATCAAACTGCAGGAAGATTGCCAACATTATCTAAATTCTGGGCAAGTTAGTATAGAGTCAAACAATCACAGGTTCCATGTCTTACCCAGTTAAAAAGATCCGGTCCAAACCATTCCCGCATATCAGTCCAGTCTTCAATTGTGCTCTCGATCCGAGTTCCTGAATTTGGTAGTTGCGGGTTTTCTGCGCCGAATTGAGTCCTAGAAAAATTCGTCAGTTGAACCTGCTTGCCATCACGTGGGGCATAACCTACTGTAATTGAAGAAGTATGCGATGCGCCTTCAAGCAAATTGCACTTCGACGAGAAAGGCTCTTCATTCGAAGCACAAGTAAGTTTAACTCCTCCCGATACGAGCTTGAATCAAAAGACGGTGACATATCTAGAAGGCACGAATTGAGCGCCACGGCAGCGTGAAGTGCCTTTAAACTTGTGACTCCTCTAAGCAACCAGAGATAGGGTCGAAGCAGTGGAACTTCGTAGATCTGGCGATGGATTCCTAGTAAGGCGGCACTGGAAGCTATACACCTCTCTCTAGATGTTGCAAGGAAGTATGATGACTGAGAATGGCGGAAAGGGCGATGTAGAAGAAGATAAAGTTGATGTGCATATGTTTGTAGAATGCACCAATAGGCGTAACTGGAATCCAATATGTTTGGGGCACCATCCACCAAATATGTGGAGTCCCATCTCTGTTGTTCCTCGGCGATTGTAGCATCAAATTTATTCAATGGCTCTATCTCAAGTCGCGAAGGACCAGATATATGGTGACAGATCTGAGTGGAGATCCGGAAAAGTCGAGCTTTGAACATCATCACAGACATCTGCGTGGGCGAACTAGATGGCCGCGAGATTCCTTCTTGGGTGATATCAGCATCATTCACGTCTGCGGGCATTGTGGTTTTTATATCAAGAAGGAATGTCATGTCGATATCCCGAAATAGAATGGCTTGGTATGTATGTAGAGTCAATATACCAACCCAGCAGCGTCGGCGTCTCTCGGTCTCGAGATGGTTAAGTCCCTGAGAGTCGACATTGCACCGTAGGGCTATGCCGATGTTTAAGGCCATACCCAACAGGGCCCACCCTTGATCGACAGACTCATTGTGAGAAAGATTATATATCACCATCAGCAAAGCCTCGAATGTGCTGAGCTTATGTCGGATGAAAAATTGATCTTGTAAAAGACAAACCATCGCAGTTTGCTGAAGCTGGCGGGACAAAGTCACAGCCTCTTGCTCCTTGGAATGAGACCCCGCCGGCCATAAATCGACCAGTCTAGGATCACTTGGCTCCATAGTGTTCAATGTCAGAGAGCACATAGAAAAAAGTAAAGCCAGCCAAGAGAGATCCACTTCATAGGGCTGTTGCATGAATGCAACATACTGCTTCTGGAATGTTGGGCCATGGAGAATGGGGAACAGAGCAGAGATGTGATTGAAAAAATGAGAAACCAGACAGTCGCAGCTGGTTCTAGAGGGCAAAATTTCAATGATATCTTGAAGCGAGATACTCGAACCAATTGAAAAGGGAGACAAAGTGTCAGTTGCTGCGACAGGATCATGTTCCGGGAAGGGCCGTTGGAGAACCGCTTCCCAGCGACTATCGTGGGAATCTTGAATTTCGCCAGGACCTGACCGCTCAGACCTATCATCCAAGCAACTAGTAGCAGGTTGCCTCAATGAGGCAAAGGGGGTGGCGGAGGTGTTCCTGGATGGCACATTCGACAACGAGGGATTGGACTTTGTTGGATGAATGTGAATGGATGTAGTTGCAGCACTGGGGGGAACCAAGAACGAGCATGACAGCTCGCATCCTCGCCGCGTGCAAGCACCACAAGGTTGTTTACGATCACACTTTAATTTGGAGCATCGGCAATGCTCGCAACTAAGGACTTTTCGCTTTCGGCGATGAGACGCAGGGCTTTGCGCTAGACCCGGCCCGTTGCGGTTTAAAGAGCTTTGACTCATTGTATTGCAGAATTTACCTCATATAACGGAGTTAGAAGTCCGGTACGGAGTACGCATTGTAAAGAGATGAAGGGGAACTGTGGCGGGTATGACGAAGATCGGAGTTTAGGCGGCTCGGAGAAAACGGGGGAAATTCGGAGTTTCGGAGTTTGTTCATCGGATTTAGCTTATCGGATTTAGCTTATCGGATCCATTATACTATGCCGTCGGTATGCGTTACTATGCTCACTTCGGATTAGTTATATGGAGTATTCATCCCATTAATTTGAATTCTCCTACAATATAGGTACTATCAACAACCAAGTCTGTATTACCGTTCATCGTCGGTCTCTGTTCCTGTTGGAAAGCAATAGGATATACTGCAAGTTATTCTGCGCACCTTCATATCATATATGCACCTTCATTGTTCGTCTGCTAGGAGAACAAGGTACCCAAAGCTAGGCTAAGTCCCCTCTCAGAGAAGCTGGGCCCGAATAAGGGAGGGCCCAACAACTGGAAGTAACGGCTCCATATCCACGGTTGACAGGAAGCGGGCGTATGCTTCCCAGGTCATTCGGACAAACACGCCGGCTGATGCGTTGCTCTCAAACGCATCAGTTATCTTGATTTGAAACTTGGCAGGCATTTTGTCGATAACTTTCTCAAACTCATGGACCACTTCCGGAGCTTTGCCTTCGAGTATGAGCATGACGAGCACTTGTGTTTCTCGATTGTGGGATGGCGGTGTTGAAGGCAAAGGAAGGCATTGGGCTCGAGGTACGGCCAGATGATAACGCTCCCGAAGAAGGAATTCCAGGACGAGAAATAGCTGCGACTTTAAACGGCAAAACGATAGGGACTGATGATATAAAGGAAAATGAAGAAATCAGAAAAGGATCTTGTGGCTGGTAGGGAAATTTAGTTGCTTGCGAGGTGCTGTAAGGTATGAAAGACGAAAAGAAGAAAGTTGCACTATTAATAGTCAATAAACATCTCTCCATGGACATAAATGGAATAGCTTACTAGGGATTTCGGCCTTAGACCTCCAGATAGTCATTGTGAAGTGAGAGGCTACGTAGTAAGTAGAGTGCGGGGGCAGAGGGGTGCCGTAGGCCACACAGTAAACAACTCTCTTCCATACGTTATTTTTGTTTTCCTCTCCCCAGCTCGATAGCCGCACGGCGTCTAGAACGCTCTTTCTTTTTGACATCTCGACAAGACTGACACTGATCGGTCTCTCAATTGCTAGCGCGCGAGCGAGTAGCTCCAAAGGATGCGAGTGAACGCATCTAGTGCATGGTTTGTCTTGGAGCGAGAGAGAGAGAGATGAAGAAGGTTCGATTCTCTACAATGATCGAGATCTAACTAGCTAGATAGCTAGGTGAAGCCTGACAAACCAGGCATTGGCATGTGATCGGCACGTGACCACCACAACATTTTGGAAGCCATGGATGCTTAGACAGATATCTGCTCTCTATATGCTCAATGCCTGGATGATCATTATCTATGAGTATAGTATGAATGCATTTTGATTGGTCCATAAATTTGAGCTAGCCGTATTGGAGCTAGTGATATTGGACAATTGCTGATGATAGGGTATCCGGAAATTATTGATCGGCTTTTTGTGTGTCTCCCGTGGAAATTTTCTTTTTCGTTTCCTTTTTGTCCGCTTCCCATACACGCTGATAGCACGGGAACTAATAGCGCCTTCTCAGGTCCTCAATGCCCCGTTATATTTTGGATGGATGTGGGGTATTATGAGGAAATGGCTAGACCCGGGGACAGTGGAAAAGGTGGTAATTGTGCCGGCAAGGGAGATGATGCCAACACTGACGAAGTATATTGATACGGAGAATATTCCGAGTAGATTTGGTGGGGAGTTTTCCTGGGAACATGCACGCCGCTCGACTTGGATATCAGGATTCAATCTGGCTTAGAGTGGAAAGAAGAGGGGAATTTGCCACCCGGGCCAATGAAATGGGTCCTTGATGAATCGGGAAGAAAGACAGCCGTTGCAGTGGGTAGCATTGAGGGCGTAGCAAGGACGACGAGGATTGCTCAGGTGAAAGTGGAAGACGAGGCAACCAGCGTGGAATACCCGGAGAATAACATCTGAATGACAAACCTGGAGAGAACGGTCGATATGGCCATAGCTACGCTACCATTTAGAGATGAGAACAACAGAGATAATTAGACATTATGGACACTGTGTCAAGCTTGCACTATGTCGAGACACAAAAATTTCCTCATCTACCCTGAAGCCGCCCTGTCTATAGTTTACTCGCATCAAATGCCAATCGCATTCTCTCTCCATACCGTATCATCACCCACGGCACAGGAATACACACCACAGCAATAAATCCCAGCAAACTGTTCCCCCATCCCAGTCCCATCGAGTCATACATGGCCGGTCCCGCCAAGGGCAACAATGCACCCATAATACTACGCACGACCGTGTTGGCAGCCAACGCACTGGCCGCGTAGATTGTGAACGCATCGACCAGGTAACTCGTAATACACATGAAAACAGCAATATTGCCTATTCCCATGATAGCAGTGCCGATGAGCGGCACGATCCAGTGTTTTTTGTAATACGTAGACCAACCATACATGAACAGACCGGCCGGGATGCAGAACGCACCCACGACCAGCGGTGGCAGACGGTATTCCGGCTTCATGCCACCTGAGGGGGCCTCTGGGGTGGGCTTGGATTTGGCCTTGAGAATACGATCCGATGCAGCGCCAATGACGAACAGTCCGAGGAGCGAGCCAATGCCAATTCCCAGGAAGCTTAGACCGGAGGATTTAGTTGGCCATCCGTATTGGTCCTCAAAGACTCTGGTGAAGGTCGAAAACATGAGATACTGGTACCCGTAGACTATACCCACGTAAATCGAACTCACGAAGACGATCGGCGATAAGAATAGAATTTTAAATGGGCGGGTGAGGGCTTGAAGGAAGAGCTGACCGGTGGAGAGGCCGTTGTCTCGTTTGGAGCGGAGGTTCGTGTTGCCAGTTTCTTTGATGAGGCGTTGCGTTTTGCGCTTCAGGAGGACGGTGGGATAGGTTTCGCGCAGGAAGACAAAGCACGCGATGGTACAGAATCCGCCCACGATGGTGAGAACCCAGAAGACCCAACGCCAGCCCCTGGCTGCGGCCAGGTACCCTCCTGCTACTGGCCCGATGACGGGACCCAGCAAGGGTCCGAGGGCATAGATGGCGATGACGCCTCCCCGTTTTTCCTGCACGATGAGATCCGCAATCGTACCCCCACCTACAAAAGGGAAAAGTGGAGTGTCAGTACATCGGATCGGCATTGAACAGATCAAAGAAACCACTCACCATTTGTAACGGGTGCCGAGCCAAAGCAGCCCTGGAAAAACCGAAAGACGATGAGCATTCCCATGTTGGTGCTCACAGCGCATGCAATGGTGAACACCGTGAAGCCGAGATTGCAAATGTGGTAGATAATGGCTCGCCCGACGAGCTCCGAGGCCGGCGCCAGAATGAGTGGTCCAATGGCGAAACCCAACACATAGACCGTCACCACGAACGAGCCCAACAGCGTATTCGTAGTGTTGAATTCCTCCATGAGCTGAGGCACACTAGGCGCAAACATAGACGATGCGAGCGGAGTAATGAAAGTCAGCGCGCTCACGATTCCGACATTAGTGCCTTTAATCAGACCACTGAAGTTGACTGGATTTCCGGGGTCATCGGGACCGTCCCAGTCGACAATATTCGAGTCCAGCGGCGTTGCAGGATCTGTAGCAACCGCTCCGACTTGAGCAGCCACCTGTTTCTCTTCATCCCTCAGGGAGAAGGAGCCAGAGTCAGAACCGGCTTGAGAGAGCTTCGAGGGATGTTCACCAGGCGACCAGTTCGCGGACCGTCCGTCAGCTTCAGCTTCGGCTGGGCCTGCAGGCGCCGCCGTGTGTAAATCTGACGTTGACAGGACCATGCTACCGCTGTCTTTTTATGCCGGTGAGGGAGAGAGACTGTGGGTAGGTATTAGGTTACCAAGTGAAGAGAAATTATAAGTAGCAAAGATGTGAACATTGAAAGATTCAGAATTTCAGATATATACATATTCTCGTCAACAGGAAAGACTTCGATGCTGATAGACAAAGCGAATATGTAGGGGTTGCGGTTGTAAGGCCGCAGGATGCGGAGGTAGTCTTGTATTTCCTATGTCCGGTATCGTGCAGAGGTTTGCCTGTCGTTCAGTACTTTAGTCCGCAGGAATCGCGGCTGGCAGGGGTTGCGGTTGTAAGGCTGCAGGTTTCGGAGGTAGTCTCTTATTTCCTATGTCCGGCATTGTGCCGAAGTTTGCCCGTCGTTTAGTATTTTGGTCTGCAGGGGTTCGAGCAGGGATTCACAGGGGTTATAAAAGGGATTCGAACAGGAGTCTGCTGGTGGCTATGCGCTCCGTTAGCGTGGGATGGCGTTGGATGGCGTTAGGTCGGATTCCTTCTCGTTCTCGTTTATGCAGATCCTCCCGTAACGCTGATTTTAGTGTCATGGCACGTACCCTGCCATGCCAGCTCGGGCGAGAACTCGCGCTAATGCATGCATGCCACAGGTGATAAATATAGTATTCTTTCAAATAGATACAATCAATTGAACACAGAAAAAGGTGTGTGCTGCATACTAGCAGTTGGGTAATATTGATTATTGGTATTGGTATTACTGGCGAAAAAAGCAAGTAGGGGCGTTTGCATTAGCGTCCCTTCTCGCCCGAGCTGGCATGGCAGGGTAGCTACAGTGATCGGTATGGAGTGCGAAGATATGCTCTGTTGATCTAGGAGAGAAAGAAAGAGAGAAAGAAAGAGAGAGAGAAAAAGGAAAAAAAAAGGAAACATAGCCGAAGGTGCCAGTGAGGTCTGCTCACGTAGAGATAGTCATATCCACAACAGTCCAATACTGTATGGGGCAATGTAAGGCTTAGCATATGCGAATCACCGTTAGGCATACGGGCATCTCCGATCTGAACGCCCCACTCGCCAAATTATACGGCCAACTACTGATCCCAACAGGTGGAAAGAGAGAGTCGATGCTTCATACGCAAATCTATTCACATCAATGTTGTTGCCAGCAGCAAACTATCACGAAACAATAATCAAAATCAAAAATCAAAAATCAAAAATAAAAAACCAAAAATCAAAAATCAAAAACAAGCAATAGATGAACCAAAACAGAGACCAAAGGTTGGCTGAAACCCCCTAACTCCTAATTCTTCCGCAGGATCTCCAGGATCAGTCTCAACTGGAAGTTCTGGACCCCGAACTTGCCCTCGAGGTGGGAGATGTTCTTTTCTACCTGGGTGTGTAACATGTCCAACGCGTCTTCTGTAAACTGTAGGCTTCCCCCTTTTTTCATCAGCTCCAGGATAGTCTGTTTATGCGACAGACTGGCCCGGTCGTTGACCAACCGCCGAGTCCAGATATTGCGGATCACAGTGTTGGATGGAGCGGAAAGCATCATATGGATGACTGGAAGCGAGAACTTTCCCTCATCCAGGTCCTCACAGAATCCCTTTTGCTTAGTGTACTAGAATAGGGTTAGTCTGATTTTGTCACAAACAATTGGGGGGTCTAGAGCAGAGGGTTTGCGGCCATACCTCGGGAGAAGTGAGGTTGGAGTAATCATCGCGCGTTTGAAAGTACCGTCCAAAATTATCCAGAAGACTAGTTAGATCGGCCTTGACCGGGTTGGTCGAGTGGAGTGATAGGAGGCGGCCGAAGAGTCGGAACAGTCCACCCGTTTCTGTCGCCCTTGTTAGTCTCCATGGCGTTCAATGACCTTTGTTTCCATGTCTCTCGACTTACTGTGCTCCACCATACGGAGGTATTCATCAACAGTCGGGCAGATCACGTTGTTGGTCCAATGTAAATCCAAGCTTTGACCGATATAGAGGTTCTTCAATTCCTCTGCAAGAGCAAGTCAATCTTCATTCTCCGACGACTAGAATGGCTGGCAACTTACCAGTGAAAATCAGGACGCTTTCTTTGTCCCCAAGCTTCTGTACCTCTTCCAGAGCATGAATGATCTGGTAGTTGGCTGCATTCACTGTCTGGCCAGCTCCGAAGATCGTATGTGTTGATGGTTTTCCGCGCCGAAGAGTCGAGCCATCTTCTATATCATCTAACCTGTTTACTTGTCAGCTAGCATTCTTGGATGGGCATCTTAGAAACTTACATCAAAGAAGTGTTATGAAGCATGTTGGTTACCAATTTGATTCGGTCAACCTTCGAAGCAGGGACACGGCACCAGACATTCAAAGCGTCGATCGCTTGATCTCTGACTCCTTTTGATGGCAGAGAGCTAATATAGTCGTAAGGAGCTTGGATGACCTATATCGGCTTTTGTTAGCAGGCTGAATAGCTTGAAAACTGGATGTCGGTACTGACCTTGGTTTCAATCTCCGGGGTTTTCTGGATGATAACATCACCATTCGGTCCTGAACTGGGCGCTGAAAGATATCCTTCTCCCTCCTGCAGCTTCGGGGCACCGATGGCTTTGTATTCCTTCCGTGCAAAAACGTTCACCAAGTCAGTGTCGACGTCCAGACTGAATGGATGTTTCAGGCCTGTGCTACCATTGGTACCATTGGACACTGGGGCATGAGTGGCACCGTTCCCATTCGTGACACCATTGGTAGCCGAACCATGGACAGCACCATTGCCATTCACATGTCCATTAGAGACAATCTTTTCCGTACCCTTGGACAGCCCGTTGGACACCGCATTGGATTTTGGAAAGACTTTGGGGCTCTTGGGAATGCCATTCTTCATCCAATCAAGCTGATGCTCGTTGTACGAGGACCACCGATGGTATCTGGGGCAGTCGATACTCCAAACCAGATTTCCACTCAGACTGTACAGCAGACCTTCTAGATATCGCTTCGTGTCCAGGGATACATCGTCTCGAGCCTTGGTATCAGCGACAATCTTGCGGAAGTCGACGATGGTTACTTTGATCTTTTCCCGGCAGATCTCTTTGGCCACTTCCTCGGAGACCTTACGCTCCTCCATGAGAACTCCAATTATATTGGCAACGTAGTCTCGACCCATAGCCACTGCAGTCTCATATTCTTTCTGCCAGGAGTAGAGGTCATTTGTGAGGCCCAGATTCAAATAGGCAGTGTTAGCCAGCTCGTGGCACATCTCCAGTTCTTCTTCGGGAATTCTAATACCCATCCCAAAAGTGACCATGCCATACCAAAACCTGCGAGATGTTAGATTCGAATGCCAAGGATGTCCTACTCACCAGTTTTGAGATAAAGACCTACATCGTGCCAATATCGATCATGCGGTACTCAATATACTCTTTCTCTGTTTTGAAGTGTGTGGTGTGCTGGCGTCCCGACCCAAGCTCTGCAAATTTGGCCCACGCTTCCAGCGTTGCAATTGCATGCTCTTTGTGGATTTTTATCATCTCATTTGCGATGTGGGCTTGAATCGCGCGTTTTCCAGAGGTAGACCCTTCAATGCGTCCAGTACTGGCGGCTTCTTCAAAGGCAGCTTTCAAATCATCGTTATGTATGTCTCCCTGGTGCAGGTTTCTCGTCAGTGCCCATCAGATAGCAGCCGTTACACCGCTGGACTCACATAGTCTGCCACATCTGTGACGTCTGCAGAGAAGTATCAGCAACGACATCTCACTTCTATGTGATATTGGACATTCAACTGACCATCATGTAGAAAGGCAAGCTCGTTGGCATATCCCAGCACACCGAGCCGCTCAGGCAAGCACTCTGGAATGGTGATGGCCATGAAATTCCATCGTGGCCCCAAACCACCCTTGTAGAACCCAAGTGGACCAACCCATTCCCGCCAGTTCTCTTGACATCTCAATGTCTCGATCTCCTCAAGCTCAGGGCTCTCATGACATCTGAGATCAATCCCATCACACAAACCGTGTGTTTTATACGTGGTGGGATCGATCACGGTAGAGTACTTGAACTCCATGTTCAGAGATAGCAAAGAAGACGAGGAGATAGAGCAAGATCAGGCAGAGGTGCAGCAAGAGGAAATGTTTCACTGATGCAACGGAGGAGCTGGCATCTAGCAACATGCCTTTAGTAGTGAAGCAGTCAGTAAAGCCCCGCTCTTAAGTACCTGGTATCTCTTCCCCTCATGATGAATTGTAAGCAAATCCTCCTATCGGAGTCTCGGACATCCCCAAGTATGCACTAGTTTGTTTACTTATCTTTAGTGATCTTTTTTTGGTCAATTGGTTTACAATGCATGCCCGACTCTTGGAATGCAGGTATCCTAACGAGATTCGGAATATGTGCAAAGGTCTGGATGGCAAAGTTGTTATCAGGATTCAGAACCCTGCGAGTGCTTCCATCCTACCCTGGTGGAGCCAGTGTACCGCCTCGGATATGAAACGGAGGAAATCCGAGGGGCCTGGAGTAAATCTGATTTTGTCGAGTCATTCAAGGCTGCATCCTTTTGAATGTGCTTTGTCCAGACTTCCGCAGGATTAAGAACTCTATGCAGTCATCAAAATCTCAGAAAATTCCCTGTCAATCAGCCGTGGTGGACCCCAAGGTGAGGATTTCTGTTGAGGAGCGGGGATCGCCTGGATCTGGGCCGAATCGTAAGCTTCGGATATATCAGGTAGCAATCTATTTAGTCTGAAAAGGGCATTGAGCATGGATCTTAGACTTAGCACTTATTGCCCAGGTGAGGATTATTGTCCACGGGCGCCCCCTCCCGAATTCCGAATTGCTTAGCCCTGGGATCCGGACTCCGAGCGTTATCAAGTTGCTGGGTAGGCTCTAATTAGCGTTATCAATTGTTACGCGGGGCGATTGCACTTTTTACAAAGCAATTCACTCTACACCGGGGCCGATTGGGGACGCGAAGGAATGCTTGCAGCATGCGTCATGCAGCTTGGTGGCCCCGGGGGCCAACAGCACCCGATGTTTTGTGCAGAATCCTGTCGTGTGGAGTTCGCGTGCGCACGCAGAGAGGCTCAGATCCCTGTTAAGTAGAAAGCTAAACAGAACCGAGCAAATTGCTATATTGGAACAACAAGGTAGTATCTATCGTGATGGCGTGCTGGCATCTCGTTTTCGTTCAAACCTCGTCTAGATGTCCTAGGATATTTTCATGCGGAGCTAACACGACCTCCTAAGCCACCATCTTGTATATGAGAGCCAAAGAGAGGCCCACGTTGACTGCGCAATCGCCGCAGAATACTCACCATCTGTTCCCGCCACTCAGCACCGCCCAATGCATCAGGATAGTCAAGATAGTATGGTTTCGAATTAGAAGTCATTGGCCTGTTTCACCCCATTCCTTCCGGACCGCGGAGATAACCCTCCTTGAAATGGGACCTGCAACGTTGTATCGAGGATCTGACACTGACCGGTCAGGCCGGCGTAGTCCAAATTGTCAAGCCCAATCCTGTAGATGCATCTTTTCTCCATCCCGGTCTGACTACCTGTTCGTAATCTAGAATAACTCCGAAGGACCCCGAAGGACTCTATCTTACCCCCCTTCTCGTACTTTGGTCAATTCGCCTGGGAATATAGGACCCGATATCAGAATGAGACCCCACCATTGGTAGTAACAGCACGAGGTATGAAAAAGGTTGGACATCTTCTTTCTTTTCAACCCAAGTCTTCTCCCCGAAAGATTCAGATACTTCTCACATCCTGCTTCACTTGTACTGAAAACCTTTCGGCAAAGATGGAGGCTTTGTACAAGGAGACTGTCTTGCTCGTGGAGGAATATCCTTTGCTGAAACAATATGGCATCTATGGTGCCATTGCGGGGAGCTTGATCCTCTACACTGCTTTGCTGGCCATCTATCGTCTTAACTTCCATCCGTTGGCCGGATTTCCTGGACCCAAAATTGCCGCTGTCAGTCGCTGGTATGAGTTCTACCACGATGTGGTTAAGCGGGGGAATTATGTGTACAAAATAGAGGAGATGCACCAGAAATACGGTAAAGTTCCATTTCTTCTTCGGGGCTATATCTTACTATATTTCCCACTGGCATTTCCACGCACAACGGTAACAGGGCCCAAACTGACTCGCAATGATTCATCTTATCAGGGCCAATTATCCGTATCAACCCACACGAGATAGTCATCAATGACCCGGAATTCTACAACGATGTCTACGTGGCCGGCAACACCCGCCGTACGGCCATCTGGCCTCGCTACAGGACCGGCATTGGCTTTGACGGTATGTTGCTCCCCTGAATCTAACTTGGATTGTTGGAAACGAGCAAGTCTTCTTATTCATGTCAGGCTCTCACACCATGACGGAGAACCACGAACTGCACCGTCGTCGCCGCAAGCCACTTGAGCCTTTCTTCTCCCGCATGGGCATCGATAAGATGGAACCTATGATCATCGAGGAAGCCAAACTCCTTGATGCTCGTTTAACCGAGCTTAAGGGATCCGGCAATGTCGTCCGGCTCGACCATGTGTTCTCTGCCTTTGCCGGAGACGTTGTCGGCCGGATCTGTTGTGAAAGCCCTCCTGACATGATGAACAATCCAGAGTTTGGCAAAGAGTGGTAGGTGAAGTGGACGTCCGCGTTAAACACATCCAGCACTGACAATCCGGCGAGCTAGGCACAACTTGATCGAGAGTATTGTGAGACAGCTTCTCTTGTTCATGCATTTCCCGCAATTAGTCGCGTATGTTTCCATCTTTAGAAGCAAAGGGTATAGACTGACAGATGTAGTCTGGCGTCCATGATTCCAACCGGGTTCCTCCTGCGTGTGTACCCAGGAGCTGCCGGATTCAACGTGTTCCGCCAGCTTGCTACTAAGCACATTATTGATGCTAAACAGGACAATCTTAGCAAACAGAAAGTTGAAGCGAACGGGAAGAGTTCTGTATTCCGCTATGTTATTACAAGCGAGATGCCTAAGTCTGAGTGCGGCACGGAGCGTCTGAGTCGCGAGGCGATGGTACTCTTCGGGGCTGGCACCGCCACCACCGCACGTACGATGGGCTTCATGTGCTACTACATTCTCACTAATCCGCACATGCGGCAGCGTCTAGGCGAAGAGCTCAACGATATCATGGCAGATTACCCGCACACCCTGCCTACCTGGCAGCAACTGGAACAGTTGCCGTATTTGCAGGCACTGATTAAGGAGGGCCTACGGTGAGTTTAGTTTAGTTTGATTTGAATGAGTACTTTGGAAGTCCTTGCTGAGAAAGCGAACGTTTGCAGCCTGAGCTACGGCGTAATGCGCCGTCTTCCCCGGATCTCGCCGGATATCCCCCTTGTCTACAAGCATTGGGTGATTCCTGCTGGCACTCCCGTGGGAATGGCTGCATATAGCCTGCACACCGACCCAGAAGTCTACCCGGAGCCATTCAAGTTCATTCCCGAGCGTTGGCTGGGCGATTATAACGCCGATATGAACAGGAACTGGGTTCCTTTCAGCAGAGGATCTCGGAATTGCTTAGGCATGAAGTAAGAAAAAACTTCCAGGAATATCTGACACTATGTGGAGATAAGGCTAACAAAAATAAACAGTCTGGCTTATGCTGAGATGTACTGGGCCATGGCAGTAATGTTCAGGCCGGATGCACCCCGCTTCGAATTATTCGAAACGGACGAATCTGATATCTCGCAGTCTGTGGATTTCTTGATGCCTCTTCCAAAGTTGGATAGCAATGGAATAAGGATCACAATCCATTGAGGCCAATATACGGAAGGGAACATGGTGTTCGTGAAGTAGCTGGAGGTTCCTTGGTAACTAACTGATGTTTCAAGCGCCCACTTGAGATTGTATGGAACGGAGGGGAGGTAAATGTTGATCAAATTCAGGGAACCTGTGAGAAATAATATTTATGGGACTAGAGATCTATATTTTTGAAGCCTATTCTTATGAACTCCTCCGTGACCGCAATAAGATCGAACATGCTGAGTTAGGAAATGACATGAAATCGAAATTCCACGGCATGTCTCGTTATAGCGCTAGCATAATGTATTCAAAGAGTTATATCTACTACTACTAGTTCTAGTATTTATATCCCGACCTGCATCCGGACTTAGAATATTAGTGCCTAAGGCATTTGTTTCATGTCGGAGTATGCAAGTCAGCATACCGGAGGATACCGGAGGATCTATTAATCCTAACAATGTGTATTGTTTATTTTAGTTTATGTAATCAGGCTCCATAAATTGCTAGCTGAGCCAGTTCAGAAATACAGACTGATTGACACCCATTCATTAGACCATATATTTTACAGATACAGTTAATCTAATAGTTATAAGCCCGGTTTGTACCTAACGAGACTACTAGCGACTAATTACTACAGAAAGTATCTCGCGAAGCCCTATTAAGCTATCTATTCCTCCCTTAACGAAGCTATATAGTTAGCTATTACTTACTACTACTAATAGAAGCAGTATCAATCCTCTCTACTATAAAGGGCGAAAAACTGAAAGATATACCCTAATAGTATATCTAGTATACTAAAGTACAACTTTATACTACCTAAAAGAATATCTAGGATCTATATAACCTAGATACCCCAGTAGATACTAGGCCTACTATCCTTACTAAACTAGTAGAACCAGCCTACCCCCTAGATAATAATAATAAGAAGCTTTAACGAGTTTAGTGAGACTTAATAGACTTATATAAGATAAAGTATACTAGATAGGAGAAATAGGCTAAAGGATTAAGTAATATAAACGAATATATCCTTACCTATCTTAATCCTATATACCATCTCTCTATCCTACTATATATAACTCTGTATAAGAGACTAGTCTACCTAAAAGCTCGCTTTACTAAGTTAATAGTATATAAAGAAGAGATCTAAATAAACTAGAAGTTATTTACTATATAGAAGCTAACTGGAGATATTAAATAATAGCTCTAAAAGTAGAACTTACTAAGGGAATAAGCTATTAGCCTAGGTATTAGTAATAGTAATACTAATAGAGACTTCCTATATATAGTTAAGGAAGTACTACTAATCTAGTAGTAAGGAAAATACTAAGAAGTAGTTATAGATAAGAAGAAATATAATACTCGAGATCTTCTTAAATCTTTCTATACTATAAACTAGGAGATTAGGGTTAAAACTATTACCTCTACTAATATTCTAAAAAGTACTTTCTTAACTTAGTAAGGGAATCTAGAAGCTAAGCTAGATAAAGAGAAGTAAGAGAAGGAAAAGTAGGAGAAGTAGTCAAAACTCCTATTTAAGTAATAAAGGTATCTATATAGCTATAACTACCTAAAATATTAGGTAATAACCTACTAGATTATAAATAAAGTGGCTTAACTAGAGGGTTTTATACTAAGTAAAGATAAATTAGAAAAGGTTAAGAAGGTATTAGCTAAAGATACTACCTAGAAGTAATAGGTTAAGAAAACGGTAGTAGAAGCTTAGATAAAACCTTAGTAAGCTCTTTAGTAAGTTCTTCTATAAGTAGAAGTAAAGCCTTAATAAGTAGTAAATACTACTATCTAGACTAGTTTTACTACCTTTATATACTATAGTCTATAAGCTATATAGATTAGTAACTAGGTACTAGCTACTAAGAAAAGCGAAGCTTTCCTCTAAGATAGATAGATCTTAGATACTAGATCGAGCTCTTATATCTATAATAATAGGGATTAGTTTATTAATTTTATACTAGAAGTTAACTAGGTAATTACTAGAGATAGTTTAATAAAAATCCTAGGAACTAGGACTATCTAGCTTATAGGATAGTACCTAGAAACTAGAAAAATTGAGATTAAACTAAGTAATATACTATACTTATTAACCTTCTATATAAACCTAGTATTATATATAGCCCTATAAAGGAAAGGAGGTTTCTAGTACTAATATACTAATTATATATAGGATCCTAATAATCTCCCTATTATTAATATATACCTATAGGATTATTTTAATCTATAGATTTTCGATAAGCTAGACGAGAAGGTACCCTTATAAGTATATACTATAAGAACCTTAGTAAAGCTATAAGAAATAAAAAGCTTAGCGGATATCTAGTACTACCGACTTACTTATATTAATAAGTATACTATAGCGAAGCTTACTACTATAGTAGATAGTATTATTATCGAAAAAGAAGAATCTAAACTAGAGGATAAGTCTCTATATAAAATATACTATATTAGTAGAGTACTAAGGCAGATCTCTAGATACCTAGTTAGCTATATATTTAGACGATTTGGAAGGGTATATTTTGATCTAATATAGTTACTACCGGTATATAATAAGTACTATTAGATCTCCTACTTTTATATTAAGGGTCTAAGATTCTATTAGATTATAATATATAAGATAAAACTAGAATACCAATTAGCTATTAATTAATTTATTAAACTAGTAAGGAACTAATAGAAGCTACTAATTAAAGCTTTCTACTATAATAATAAGCTATTAGCTAGAAAAACATCGGAATATAGCTTAATAAGCGATAGTATCTTAATCTACTATACTCTACCTAGTTATACTAAGATAAATAGTTATATAGAAAGGTCTAGTAGGATGATTATTACCTATATATAAATACTCTTAATTAAAGGAAAGCTTCTTAAAGATCTATAGCCGGAATTTATAAGTATAGCTATCTAGTTACTAAACTATATACTATTATATATAACCGATAAGAACTAGTAGATAGTACTATAGGAAGAGGTATAAAAGGAATTTAGTATAAGTTTACTAAGGATTAACCTAGCTAATATTAGGTTATATAGAAGCTTAGTATACTACTATATTAAGAAGTAGGTAAAATCTAATAAGATAGCTCTTTGAGTAGAGATTAGCTTCCTAGTAGGCTATCTTACCTCTAATATTTATAAAATCTAGTTCCTATATACTAGTAAAGTTAGATATATTAGGGATATAGTTATTAATAAGACTTATAAATATATACTAATATATAAGAGGTATTAATAGATCTTACTACCGATAATAGAGGAACTATAAGAGCTTACTAATAAAGAAATTGCGTAAGTACTTAATTATAAGATTACTAGTTAGTAGGTAGCTATAATAGATACTACTAAGATATAGTATAACTTCGATAATAGCTTCTAATAAGCTACTAAACCTATTAAATAACTATAGGAAGAAATATAGGATAGGATATATAAAGGAGAAGGGTAGTAAGAGACTACCCTAAATCAGGGGGTAAGCTATATAATAAGCCTACTAATACCTAATTATTTATTTAAAATCCCGCTAGGTATATTTCTAGATAAACTAGACCTACTACTACTACTAGTTATACTACTAGAAGAAGCTGAACTAGATACTAGCTCTAGTTAGGGGGTAGATACTATATATAAAGTATAGTAAGTCGACTAGACCTAGCTCCTAGAAACTAGTAAACTATAAGGATAATCTAAGGATAAGCTATATAATAAACTAGAAAGATAGCTTTAGGCTAAGCTACTAGTATTAAGTAGGTAGATTATAGGAGATATTAATAAAGGTAATATAATATCTAGAAAGCATATATATATAAGGAAGAACTTTGCTTATACTACTATAATAGTAAACGAAGAGCTACCAGCCCTCTTATATATATTTATAGCTAGTCTATATATAGAGAAGCTAGACGCTTGATACTATAGAGATAATCTCCCCCTACTACCGAAGTACTAGAAAGATATTATATTATATCCCTTTTAAGAAGGTATTAGAATCTAGGATGAATACTATTATTTTTCATTCCTAATACAGTTGGGTCATATGACTGATCAGGCTGGTATTTCTGCAGAAAAACCAACTCAGGTGGTTTTTTGCCCAAAAAACCAGTCCCACAGTTTTTCGCCCAAAAAACATCCTTTCATTTTATTTTATTTGTTTTAATTACTAAGTTATCCACAAGATTATCATGTTTTAGGACTATTGTCATTTTTAGAGAGTTAGAGAATTTATTAAGATTTTTCTACCATATATACAATCGCCTTACTACCGTTTTTCCGTTAGTTATAAGCCTAGAATCGCTTTAAACTTAACTCTTACAATTTTTTAACCTTTTATCCTATTTTAAATATACCATTTAGTTAATATTAAGATACCTGGCTATATATCGGGATACCCCTAAAAATAAGACTCGACCCTAAAAGTAATAATAACTAATCACAATTAGAATTCGTTTAGGACTACGATTCAGATATTATAGTAGATTATCATCCTCTCTCTATAATACCTTCTTATATAATTTTAAAGGATTCGACCAATTAGGTACTATAGCTTATAACCATTTAGGCTATTACTTAAATATATAATATTTAGGATTATTATAACCCTAAACTTAAAAAGGAACCAGATCGACTAGTTATACTAATTATACTAAAATAGGAAGATATTAAGAAGGAGTATAGAAATAACTAGTATAATATCTTTAATATTCTAAATAGTAAATACTAAGAAAAGAAGACTACCTATAATAGGGGTCTCTAAGGATTTAATATAGTAGTAAATACTATTAAATCAAACGTTTTCCTATCTTATTAGGTATTCCTAACTTAGGATTCTCCCTAGGCGCTACTTTGAAATCTATAATAGCGCTATACTCCTAAGTATAACCCTATATATAGATTAAATCTAAGAGTAGAATAGAATAATCTAGACTAAGGTCTAGACTAGAATATAAATATCGAAAAATAGTTACTAAAATAGGAAATTCTATATACTTATTATATTATAGCTA